TCATGCTCTTGCTTGAAAGCAGGACATACTTCATGGAATTTGTGTGAGAATTGGTAAGTTACCTAGAATAATATGTAGTATACAGTAATCATTCAGTCAATAAATGCTATTTATTACCTAAGATATTAAGAAATATGGCCAGGCACAGTAGCTCATGTCTGTAATCCCAAAGTAGAAGGACTGCTTGGGGCCAGCCGTTTGAGACCAGCCTGAGAAAAATAGTGAGAGTCCCCACTTTACAGAAAAGAGAAGAATTAGCTCAGTGTGGTGGCATATACACCTGTAGTCCCAGCTACTTGGGAGGCTGAGGCAGGAAGATTGTTTGAGCCCAGGAGTTTGGAATTTCTGTGAGCTATGATCAATACCACTGTACTCTAGCCTGGGTGACACAGCAAGACCTTGTCAAAAAAAAAAAAAAAAAAATTTTTTTTTTTTTTAAAAAGAAGAAAGAAAGAAATGACTAATTCTTATACCATAAAAGAACTACTTGAAGAAACTGTGTGTTTATAGGCTAGATAAATTAAGAAGATATTACTAATACCTTTCCTGTAAAGTAGAGAGACTTGATCAGCATTGGTAGAAGGCAAAGTTAGTACTAATAATTGAGAATTCAAGTAGGCTGATTTTGATTATAAGTAAATAAAAATTTTTCTAATGATAATACTGTCAAAAATGGAATAAAATGTGTAGAATATAGGCAATACTCTATTACACTTAGTGTAATACACTACCCTAGATTCACTGGGCACCCCTTCTTTGCCACTTCCTACCTCCAAGTCCAGGCCACTTGCTCCCCAGCCAGACTGGGAAGTTAACACCCCTCAAACAGAATATCATCAGTGAAGAAACAGGAAATTCTGAGGCACCAGTAGGTGAACTAATTGCTCATTCTCTCTTCTAACCAACTCTTCAAAGTTATACTTGTTTTGCCTGGAGACCAAGAACCAACTATATAATTTGCAGGGCCGAAGGCAAAATGAAAATGTCAGGCCTTACTGAAAAATTAATAATTTATTTTTGAGACAGAGTTTCACATTCTATTGCCCTGGGTAGAGTCCCATGGTGTCATCACAACTCACAGTAATATCAAACTCATGGGCTCAAGAGATCCTCTTGCCTTAGCCTCCCAAGTAGCCTAGACTACAGATAGCTAGGACTGTAAATGCCTCCCACAATGCCTGGCTAATTTTTCTAATTTTGGTAGAGACAGGGTCTTGCTCTTGCTCAGGCTGGTCTCAAACTCCTGAGCTCAAGCAATCCACCCACCTCGGCTTCCCTCCCAGAATGCTAGGATTATAGGCATGAGCTACCATGCCTGGCACTTAAGAATTTTAAAAAAGGAAGCTGAGCTTGGTGGCTCACACCTGTAATCCTAGCACTCTGGGAGGCTGAGGCAGGAGGATCCCTTTAGCTCAAGAGTTCAAGACTAACCTGAACAAGAGTGAGACCTGGTCTCTACTAAAAATGCAAAAAAATTAACTGGGTGTAGTTGTGGGCACCTGTGGTCTCAGCCACTGGGGAGGCTGAGGCAGGAGGATCGTTTAAACCCAGGAGTTTAAGGTTGCTGTGAGTTAAGCTGACACCACAGTACCTCTACCCAGGGCAACAAAATGAGATTCTGTCTCAAAAGAAAGAAAAAAAAAGAATTTTATGCAGAGCCCTTCTAAGCATGAGACCCTGTGCAACTGTATAAGTAGCACGTCAGCTCTGATAGGGATAACCTGACATATTAAGCAAGCAGCTGTATTTTTTGTAAAGCTGTGACCAATTTCAGAATTTTCCCTCCTATATTTGCTTTCTTACCTTTTCCCTCATTCCTATGTCTCTGAGATTACATCGTAACCTTACCCCAGCGAGGCCTTAATGAATAAGCTCTATGTTAGGCTGTGTTTTTCAGGGACATAGACTGATACTGTGTGAACTGAGTTTTTCAAATTTGAGAGGCTGGTCCAAATCTCTTTTAATGTTACCTTTAACTCAAAGATAACACGATTTCTCTAAGGATAAAAACTTTATCAATGGTATTGTTTGTTTAATACAACCATAAATTTTTATCTAAGGTATAATCCCTGGATTATTACATCTCTAATATTTCATTCGCTTTTGTGTGGGCATATTAATGATTCATTAGAGGGGAAGAATAGAGGAACCTAATAAGGAAAAGCACCCTTTGTCTCTCCCCATCCCATTTCCTCACTTCCCTGTTGAAGCATCTTCTGCAACCCTCCTTCCTCTGTATATTGTTCAACAGAGTTTAACTTCCTGCTTCCTTTCTATGCTCATGTAATAATTGACATAGTAACTTTGAATCATTATGATTATATCTAACCTCTACCTGCACTTTCAGTTACCGAAGTGGACATACATTTAACTTTGAAACTTTTTGTAATATACATATCATTCAATAAACATTTGTTGAATACCATGTGTTAAGCACAGTGATAAGTACTGAGGGAAAAGCAGAGCATTAGATATGGATCTGACCATTAAGTAGCTTGAGGTTTTATAAAGGAGCCTGTGTATTTATGTTCAGGAGACCAAAAATAAATTCTAATTCAAAGCAGAAGGTGATATGTGGGAGATCGCTTGAACAAACAAAAACTGCATGTGAAATGGTAGAGACTTTGGAGTAGAGCACTGGAGGGATTTATAGAGGACTAGAAATTTGAAATGAAAAATTGGGGAGGACAGATGTTCAGAAAGATATTGATTTATTGAGAATTCAACTTTAGGGCAAAAGCAATTTCACTGGATTAAAAATATATTCTCTCTTGTTATTTGAAATATCTAGACTGTTGTATGCATGGCAACTACATTAGGCTATTTTTATATTAAACTGTCAGAAGATGAAGTCATTGTCATTACTCCCTTTTTAGTAGAGAGATTACTTTTGTATCCTAAACCTGGCCTTTAAACACATTTGTTTATTGCAGAATGTTAGCACAAGTTTATTTCTTCTTTAGGGTAAGGAAAGTAACTCTTCCTTCTACCCAATTTAATTTCATTAGCTGGGTCCCCTGCAACAAAAAGCAGATTAACAAGATAAATGATTATGAATTCATTTAAGTTTTCCATGACATAGGAGTGGGGGAGCTTTCATAAGGAAATGAAGACCAACTAAATCTGAGCATCGTCTGTGGTAGGTTTGATGAAGTATGAAGAGTTGTGGAAAACTATAATAGGAAGACATAAAAGTATGAGGTCAATTACTAGACTTGAGTAAATTTAACAAGGCTTGTTTATTCAGATTTCTATGTCCTTTTTTCTTTGGAGATAAGGATACTCGTTTTTCTCAGGGTACAGGGGAATTACCTCTCACCTGAGACTTTTATGGCCTGCTCTGGGGAAGGTCAAAAAGTCCTACTGATAGATGTCATTTCTAAAATCCTCTCAGCTTAAATAAATATACAAAGACACTATATTGGGGGGGTAGTGTGTTCTGAGCCCCATCACCTTCATGTAACCTAAAACACATAAGTAGTCACTTTTTAATCTTCAGCTTTTCAATCAAGCAAGTAGGGGACGGAGAAACCTTCTAAATAATTAAGGAGAATACCCTGATAAAACCTAAGTGAAAAAAAAAATTCAACTTAAAGTCAGAGAGAATGATATCCTCCGCAGCAATCTCATCCTTTAAATAAAGCAAGCAATGGTTACTGAACCCCTAGCAAATTTTTGGCAAGACAAAACTCTCTTAGACTTCTCCAATGAAGAATAATTCCCAAACTTGTCAGATCTAAACAAATGGAACGAAAGTGAACAGAGGTATTTAAACTGATAGATTAATAGAAAAAAAAATTGTCTTTAGTGTTGATGTTTGATTTTCAGTCTTTTAAACTTCCATGTGCATTTAAGGTTGATTTTTTTCTCCTCGTTGATTTATAAAGGTGTGTCCTCAATGTGATGAATTTGTATCAGAATTGTTTGGCTGAAATTTGCCAGGAGGTTGATTTTGCTAGTCTCTTGAATTTTTCATTGTAATGCCAATGTATCTCAGAATAAGACAAACTTTATTTAAAAAAAAAAAAAGAAGTATTTTTCTTTGTGTTTCATGCTCCTTTAATGAAAAAAACAGTGATTCAGAGACCTGGATTTAAAAAGCAAGGACACAGGCTATGTGTGAAGTTATAACACCTTGTCTTGACAACTGGAATCCTGGCAAACGCTGTTGATATTGATAGAATTGTCTTCAGAAATAATTGCCAGTCATGCATTAATAGAGTATCTGCAAAATGGTTACAAGTTGTAAAATAACAAAAGTACCCCATGAAAGAAGGCCTCATGAGAGATCTTGAACACGTGCATGTACGTAAAAGCAGTTTGAATATGATGTGTAAAATGATTCATTGTCAATTAGAGAAAAAAAAAAACAAAGTTCAGAGAATGTTAGGGGTAATTAAAGCAACTAATGATAACGTTTGAAGACATGCTGAAGTTTTGCGGATGCGTACACACACGTGGTTGCTGGGGTATCAACAGTTATTTTTCACATCTCTCTGTGCATGAAAAGTACTAAAGGTGGGAACTTTTTACCATAGATATTGGTTTATAAAATTAGGCTATTTCAATGAAAAAATTTTTGATCATTTTATATATTTTAACTTTAAATCATTTATAGAGCCAAGAACATGCATTAGTGAGATACAATCTCTTTGAACCTTAGTTTCTCTTTAATCTTCAAATTAGATTTTAAAGAATGAAATATTAGGAATTCCATCAATAAATTTAAATAGAAATGGATTCATTTGAACTAATGGCCGAGTAAAGTGGTGACATTCCCATATTAAGTATGATGATTTGGTAAATTATATTACACATTTTCATTTATTTCATGGAGAATATAATTTTTATGAACAGTAATTCAGAAAAATGTGAACTGACTTCACATAACTATTCTTCACATTAAAAAAAAAAAAGACTTTACATGATACTGTCTTCTTTTGGTTGTTTTATGGTATATCTGGTAAAATATTCTAAAAGTTTTGCACATTGTTCTTTAGTTTCAGCTCAAATTCTCAAGAGCAACCTTGACGTAATGGAACAACATATTGTTAACTTGGAACGTGACCTCAAGAAATTCACCCATGTAGAAAATCAACTTGATAAGTTTGTGGAAAAGATGACGATATCCTTTACTTATTAAGCGTTTTGTGTCTGTTTGTCTGTTTGTTAATTGTGTGATTAGTTTAGACACTCTGTTTACACTGGGTGAATTTGTGTATATATTATTTTTATAATAGAATATAAATTTTGTTTCATAATGTTTCAAGCTAGATAGAGTAAGCAAGGGAACAATTAGATCAGAAAAAAATGTCATTTCTCAATGAAGAATTTCATTTGAAAGCCCACAAGATATGTGAGGTAAGTGTTATGAGTCCTGATTATACCTAAACAAAGAATATTTTTGCTAGCACTCTGGGAGGCCAAGGTGGGAGGATCTCTTGAGCTTGAGACCAGACTGAGCAAGAACGAGACCCCAACTCTACTAAAAATGGAAAAAAATTATCCAGGCATGGTGATACTGGATACTCCCAGCTACTCAGGAGGCTGAGGCAGAAGGATCATTTGAACTATGGAGTTTGAGGTCCCTGTGAGTGAGGCTGAGGCCATAGCATTCTAGAGCAGATGAAAGAGCAAGACTCTTTCTCAAAAAAAGAAAGAAAGCAAAAGAAACAAAAGAGCAAAAAGAACATTCTTCTCTAACTGAATTTTTTTTCTAAGGATACACATGCATTTTCAAGGATAATCAGGGGATAACTAATATCAGTAGGCTGAAAAAACTGTGAAGGATAAACGGATACATGGAAGCACAGAAAGGTGAATTAATCAATAGATGATACACTTAAATAAATTGTTATATTGATATCTATGTAACATTAAACATTTCTTGCTAAATAAACGTTTTTGAAACCCCTATTTTACATACAGTATATTCACGTAAATTACAGAAACGTAAAAGAGGAGAACTGGAGAAATAGCATTTAGCTTTAATTGTTTAATGTTAAATCTGGTGTCTAAAGATAAACTACAGCTAATTTTTTTTTTTAATTTCTATTTTGGTTTTCAAAAGTTAAAGCCATAGCCTCCTCCTCTGGGTTTAAATAAATATCTTGAACTGCAGATTGATTCACCATTTTATATCTCTAGCGGGAATAAATACTGTAAAATCTTTATCTGATAATAAGTAAATTCCTTCAGCAACTATGTGGCAGTCACCTTGTTTCAAGGTTAAACCCATTGCATTTTTCCACTCTGATATGCTTTCTTTCCTACCCAACGTGGAAATTACTGTGCTGAACTCGAATTACTTAAGAATGGAAATTTAGATTTATATAAAATTTTTTTTCACTCTCATGTTTCCGGTCATGAATTAATACTGTGTTTTGTATGGTCCTTGAGCGATTCTGAGTACTTTCATAAATACGGATATTGGAAACATAAGTTTGTGAGTCACTGGAGTCAGGGAATCTTCAAAAATAACCTTGGGTTGCAAAACCAGCCACATTGCTATACTTAACGTGAAGGTTTCACTTTACTGCTGATTAGATTGTTTCAAATATGTTATACTGTCCTGTGGCTGGACACACCATCTTTTTCTTTCACCTTTTGATTTGGGTTCTTGCCTCATATATTTCAATTTAATTCATGATCCCCTTGTTCTTTTGAATGTTTTCTTCTACAGTTGGCTGATGCCCGCACAACAGCTTGCACTATTGAGTCTTTCTTACTCATTTAGAAAAAGAAAAGTAATTTCAAACCCTCATGAACTTGGCTTGGACTCCTTGTTTTATTTCTCTCTTTATGCAGGTAATTAACCACTTTAAAATGAAAATCCAGAGCCTTCTGGATCTGTATGTTACAGATGAATGGTTATTCTTCGTTTAAGTGGCACTAAAGTGTGACTGTTTGTCCACGGGGGATTGGAAACTATATTAAAATGTATGCGGCTGTTACTTTGCATGTCATATTTTTAAAAAACAGACTAAAACATACAACAGTTCATTTCAGAGAAAAAGTTAGAATATTGAGTTGAATTGGTGAATAACTCTGAATTAATGCATTACAGTGATAAAATTGTTCTTGCTTTGGCTGTCTCCTTGGTTACCCATTGAGAGTTCTGATGTTCTAGAACGGGAGAAACAAAATGCATAATCATCATATGTATATATGAATGAATTCTGGTTCCTAGTTAATATCTTTCTACCATTCTGGCAATTGAAACAGAGAAGGATATTTTATTATGGGATGCTTGATCCTGTTTTAAAATTAGAACCAGGATTCCATTTCCAGTTCTGGATTCTTTGTTCTGGATGATCTTTCCAATATTTCTATCCCCTCCCAATAAATTGCTTTGCTGCAGGTCACTGGCCCTGTAAATTGAATACCTGGGCACACAAATATGGCAGTAGTTCCCCTTGAAAGTTACCTTACCTACTTAAATACTAATCTTTCTATGAGGACTGTCAGTTCTAAAACTGAATAATATTCCCATGCCTCTGTGCTTTCAGAGCAGCAGTAATGCTATAGTTAGCAGGAATGGCATGGATGGCTCAGAAAATCTGAATATATAGGTTGGATCATCAACAGGTCTCCAGGTTGGACTGTGACTTATAACACCCTGTGTTCACTTGTATTCTTTTACAATTTTGATGATGCACAATACGCGAGGCATTGCCAGGCCCTCAAAATATAGCTGCGCACAAGATCGAATACTGGACCTCAGGCTACTGACAGTCTGGCGTTTGTTTGCTCTCTGTCTTGCTTTTCCCACGGCAGAGATCACTCCTGGTTTGTTAATTACCATATGCCCATAACAATGCCTACTGCCTAACACTGTATGGGCGTCTGCTAAATATGCATTAGCTAGAGACAATGGAACTCTCCTCACCTTTTACTTAGCACTTAAAAAAGGTGCTTATAGTTATAAGTTTTCTTCATATAAATCTCAGGAACTCGAGTACCATTAAATCACCTTTTTAAAGCATACCTGTAAAGTATCATCAGGTTTAGGAGGGAGGATCCACAGCTTTTAAAGTAAATGTCAAAGAAAATTGATCCAAAAACCCCCAAAGAATAAAACTCCTAGAGTGGGCCGGGCCAGTGGCATTAAGAGGAAATTTATCACTTCTGTCTCTTTTTCTACCTGAACTTGGTTGCTTGTTCTGAGTCCGAAAAAATTAGTTGGTATAGGGGAGAGTAGATGTTTTTTTTTTTAAGAGAGTTTCACTTTGTCATGCTCCATAGAGTGCTGTGGCATCACAGCTCACAGCAACCTCCACTTCTTGGGAGTAGGCGATTCTCTTGCCTCAGACTCACAAGTAGCTGGGACTACAGGTGCCTGCCACAACGCCTGGGTATATTTTTGTTGCAGTTTGGCCAGGGTCAGTTTCGAATCCACTACCCTCCATAAATGGGGCTAGCACCCTACTCATTGAGCCATAGGCGCCGCCATACTTGAGAGCTTTAAAAATATATTTATTAGGGCGGTGCCTGTGGCTCAAAGGGGTAGGGCACTGGTCCCATATGCCGGAGGTGGCGGGTTCAAACCCAGCCCTGGCCAAAAAAAAAAAAATGTATTTATTAAATAGAATTTTCCATATCAGATGATAAAACTGACCGCAGTTATCCCTATGTCATGGCAGGAGTTAGACTTATGTTAGGATAACTAACAACTCATAAAATTTTTGAAATGGTCCAGTTCTCCATTTATTGATTTCTGGGTATCATCTCATTTT